TTTTTTTTGAAGGTTTTTCCACGAAACAGGTAGGGATCACACTCCTCCACCAGCTCTCCTAGTCAACCAAGTTCCGGTTTGCCTTACACCAGTACTCCATGTTCATTCTGTTTACAGGATTGAGTTCCACTGCTCCTGTATCCAATCAACATGTTGCCGAACCCACTCAAGTCTTACTACTCGATTGCATTCAGTAATCGGGGGTTTTCTCATTGCTAGTCGTTGGTGAAAGCCCTCCTTTATTAAGGCTACACGAATCGCTTTTTTCCCAACTCCTAAATTCAACTCTATTGAGCTTTAGCTAGCTTTCCACTATTTTTTCAACCTTAAAGATTTTTTTTTTCTTCTTACCTTCAGCTAGTTGCTGAAAAGGAAGTCTCCTATTGCGTGATGACATGTACACATATACTATAAGGTCTTTGATTTGTACCTGAGTTAAGACTGAAGAATGGCCAGGCTTCTTGGTAGGAGTTGCCTGAGAGGTATATGTATATTGGACTAGGTACTACAAAAACCATGTCTTTTCTTGAAGTTGAGCATATTTCCAATCTATCGACTGAAGTAGCTGACAATCTCTGTGCTAATCTCGAGTCAACTCTGATTTCTCCAAAGGAGGCATCTTTGTCAATCAGAACATAAAGAAAAAGTCTACAAAAAAACTTTCAACTTCACTTGCAAACTTCCAAGCCGCTATCATCAATTTGCTCCACACTATCCCATATTTACTTTCCTTCTCCTGCAAGTTTAGCACTCCCTTGGTAGCAGAATATACAACACTTAGGCCCTGTACCTCTGTATGTTCTCTATATATGTTTGGTCCTTTGGTTCTTTCTTGAGTTGATAGGTAAGAATGATACTGTGAGTTGAAGTCACGCAAAGTCTCTACCGTTTCGCTTTGCATATTGGTGCATATTTCAACAAGGGGTGTTGTAATATGACTTTGAGATATGCATCAGGTGCATATTTGATTATGACAGAATTTCTGTCAGAGTTATTGTACATGGACAAAATTAACCACGATTCAACAGAGGAAAATCTTCGGCGATGACAACCACACTCACCCACCAATCCACTATTATGAAAACCAAAAAAACAAATTAAAAGATGTAAATACATAGTAGAAATTAATATTTGGTATACCATCTATCAGCCTTAATAATTGCCTCTATTCTATCTACCATTAATCCAGCTAAAGTATCAAAAACCTTTGGGTTAAGAAGTTTCCAAAAATGAGTTATGGCCTCTACTATTGCCTTCTTGACCACATTGACATCACCCTTCATAAGATATCACTTAGGGTAGTGCTTGTGAAGCCTACCTTTCACCAGAGACCAAATATTTTCAATTGGATTGAAATCTGGTAAATAGGCAGGAATTTCTATCAGTGTAATTCCCTGCCCTCTGAGCCATCTCCTAAAAGGCAAGTGAGTCTTAGCATTGTCAATGAACAAAAATACCTCTTCTTTTCCATCCATTTCTCTGATATTCTCCCATATCCCTAGAAAGTCATAATAATCATAAATGTCAATAATTGACTTCCCAGTAACTCTACTCCTAGCAGAAGAATGATCAAGAAAAACAGGCCAAAAAAGACCATGAGTTTGACTATAAAAACAACCAGTCATCATCTGGCTAATCCCTCTCTCCCCTCTCCTAGCCTTAGATTCAACACAATCCTTATTCCATTTCTCATATGGCTATCTGAAAATCCATTTTCTCCTCTTTCCTCCTCCCCTTTCCACAGCTACCTCATCCCCCCACATTGCCTTCCTTCTCCACATCTCCTTTGTCCAATGCCTATGAGCTAATGCCCATTTCAACCTCTCTTGAGCTAGATTCTCATCCAAATTAACTCTTTCTTGTACCATATACTTTCTAAGATGCTTTTTTTCAAGTATTCTCCTTATTGTCCTACTAGAAACATTGGGAGCAACTTGCTCAGCAATGTTAGAATAGGTAGTATGGTGATTTTTAAGAGCTTCCTCCACTATAGCATTATCCTGTAACTTGGTAGTTTTAGGATGTCTTCCTCTACCCCTATTCTCCTTGCCCTTTTGATGTGCCTTTGCAATTGTATCTCTGACAGTAGTGTAGGAGATATTAAGGTAGTGGGAAATTTGCTGATATCTCATCTGAGGCTTGTATAATCCAAGAATCCTCCCCCTGGTAAGCTCAGAGAAATGGGTGGAGGGAATAGGTTTTTTGGCATGATAGTGAAGAATAGGAGGCATAGTTTATTGAAAAAAAAGAATTGAGCAGAATGGTTTCTTCTTGGTTGACTTAAAGCAATTCATTTAGGTACTGTTGAGAGTGTGGAGTGATGAAGAGGGGTGGGTTGCCACTGATTGTTGAATCTCGGTTAATTTTGTCAATGCACAATTACTAGTATGAGTTCATTAGTAGACGAACTTATTACATAGTTGATTAGGACAGAGTTTCTTTGGAAACTCTATTGGGCTACTAGTTTAGTTATCTCACTTGCTTTTCCTTTCTGTTACCGTTGCATTAGACAATACCATTGTCATTGACTTTTCCTTTTTTCTTACCTCTACTATATATTATAATATAATATTATTGTTTAAGTTCGCCTCCCTGTAGCATAGATAGGTTCCTATGGACCCTCAGAGATAGGCAGAACGAAGCAAGCAATACAACCTCAATCAAGAATTACAGCAAGGGGAAGGCAGCCGCTAGTTTTTTATTCGTTGGAGACGAGGGTTCTGGATGATTAAACTTGCCACGGAAATCGTTGGTCACCAATATGTGCGTGGTTCCAGATCTCCCGGGGCTGTTGCGGCGGTGTAACTCCCGCAGATACACTTACTTTCCCCAGGGCTTTGGGTAGTTTGCTGAAGCACTGGCAGACTGGTTGTGATATCGTACGGTAGACGTCATTCGGAAATTATGATAGCCCACATGAGATCGTTTTTTTCTTCTTGATACTGTATACACGAACTATCAATTCCAGCCCTCTCAACCAAGCGCCCCCTATTGGTACTGTTGCTGTTGCTTGAACGAGCAGCACAGGAGGAGAATCGAATAAAGAAATTGAGGGAATAAAGCAAGAAAACTAAGCCAAGGGGAGCGTCTCAGGATCCCCATTATAGTACGCCCCCACAGAACCACCCAAAGAATGGAAAGAGACAATAGAAAAAAAGAAGAGCCACCGGAATAATTGTGGAGAAAATTTCGTACAGCAACAAACCCCCCCACCCACGCTCTTCACTCATTGCTCCATTATTTGGTTTTCTCATCTGTAAGAAAAATCCCCCCATACCCTTTATATTAACAACTAGGAGTGATGCAATGGGTAGGTGTCCAGGGCAAGAGCAGAGGAATACACAGAACGGAAGGTACGCCGGGCCGAAAGCACAAAGATATAACGAAAAAAGAAAAGGTAAGAGGTGGCCTACAACGGAAAAATAATGATGGCCGGTAAAGTTGAAAAAGAAGAGAAAAGAAAAGGCTATTCTCTGAACAAGTAAAAAGCCCGAAGCCGGGCTGATACGAGAAAAAGGCGGAGAAACAATTATCGAACATGAATGGTATGTCTTAGATACCATCCGATGTATTGCTAAGCATAAGTAGCCCATCAATGTAGAGAAAAAGTAGAACAAAAATACGGGTGAGAAAGATATCGTGTGCCACCATCATAATTTCCACTTCGACAGGCATGATACATTTCGAAAGTAATGCAAGAATTATAAGATATCAAGGCCATTGGCGCTCAGTACCCTGAACTGCAGGGTGAAAAGATTGGTCATCTCCGCCAGTCGCAATGATATCAGAGCTACTAACGGGGGAGGCTTCAGAATCCGGAGTCGGCAGTGAACCAGAGCCTTTAGAATCTAATCGCATCTCCGTGAGCAAGGCTCTCATCTCCTTAATATCGTGCCTGGCGGAGTCCTTAGGAAACTCCGCGTCTCGCATGTCAACTAACTGCCGGATGGACATACCGATGGCCGTCTCGGTGTTGTTGGTTATCCAGGTGTGCTTCAGCTGGGGGTCGTTCCAGATTTCCGACATTCTATTACGGAAGGCGAGTGGGTAAACAAAACTATTAAATCCGCCGTTAGCAACCGAGACCACATTGGAAACACCGAATATCGCATACCCCATCTGCTCGATCTTGGCCAATTGCTTCTGAATCCATCTCCTATATCGTTTGTTGTTGGGGATCCAAAGAGCCGAAAGACCCAGTGGGGCCTGGGCTGACAACAGTGCACCGGAAGGAGCATCTGGATACACCTCAACAGCAGCCAACACATTGCAAATCTTTATGGCCAAATCCTGCAAGGACACCTCTGGTCCTGTACCGTTTGTGAGAGCAATTTGGTGTTTAAGCATAATAATCAAGCCGTAATAGTCGCACACGAGGAAATTAACCGCCCATTTATTCCCTTTGTAGATAGCCGCAGGCTCAAAAGGACAATCGTCCTCCGCAATAGTGCTGACCTTCCTTGAAACTTTCTCAGCTCCACTCACGATCGCCGGATCCAGCGACTCAAACCAGGATTTGCATGCCTGTAATAGCCTGGCAGACTCTATTAGAAAATCCTCCATGATTATAAGCCCTTGAGACCGTTTGGCAGTCAATATCGAGATATCCATAGCGAGGTCTCTAAACTCGCAGGATGCATTCTCAACTTTGAGGCTGATGCTATCTGGGTCTACTTCGGTCTCCCTATGAACGGCTTGCCTGTTGAAATCGGTCCATTGGCTGTCCACAGTGGTCCGGTGTCCTGCCATCATGGCAACCAATACATCAAAATGAGCAAACCAATTAAATACCATTCGTCGTTGAGGCGTCTCGGACATGGTCTCTGGGGTCCATAATGCTGTTAAGATTTTCGTTGCTGCGTTTCGATGCTCCATAAGATTCATCCAATCCCCAAGATATTCCTGGAACACGTGAGCAAATGTCAACAGTCAAAAAAAAAAAAAAAAGCCTATCACAATAATACCTCAAAGCTAGCCAATTGAAGGATGGTGACGATGGTTGACATTGTGTGTTCCTCATCCAAGGAGACCCTGAGAAGCCCAACGGATTTGTTGTAATATTCCAAGAACGTCTGAAACACCCCGGTTTTGTGATGTACACTGTAATGAAAAGAGGAAAATGCTGCAACAGCATAAAGAAGGGCTTCATTGTTCACAGCAAGTTCCAGAAGGGTCGTTTTAAAAAAATTACTATTGTCGGATTTAAGGAGGTAGTGGTGGCATGTAAGCATTTGTCGATGATAGTTCAGGTAAAACGCAATATCGTGGGGAAGATGCGCCCATTCTACGGTGGTTAGAAGACTTGCATGGGAAGTCGTCCTCCGAAGAGATGTAGCCGGAGAAGCAGGCTCCGAAGAGTCAGGATAATACGAATTGTCATTCCCCGGCGAGGGGCTAGGGTCTACGGAGGAGCCCGTTTTCCGAGGCTTGCCGCGTCGACCGTGATCGAACGAAGATGGCCACGACTCGCGACGTTGGGTTCCCCTCAAGTATCCTTGACTCGCGGACGTCCTTAACCTTGGCCCTTCTATAGGAGTCGGTCTATCATCGTCCTGGTAATCGTCAAATCCATCCTCTTCCTCCAATTCGTCAAGGGACGAACTCCCTTCCCTCGAAACAGGTGGTTTTTCCCGTCTATTCTTCTGCCCCGACGTAGATTTGGATGGAACCACCTCGGGATAAGTGCATTCCCTTCCACCTTTTTGACATCCTGTATACCGGGACCTATGTTAGTAGCCATAATTTTTAACCAATCCAAAGGTGATGTGGTGAGTTTACGTTCACAAATAGGATGCGTCTCGTCGCACTAGGACCATCAAGAATAACAGAGTCAATGGATGAGTTCGATAGCAATAGTTTAAATTAGGGAGGGGAGTGTTTGTGCGGGGCGGGAGGGAGGTAAGCGGGGTGTATAGCGGGGCATCCGAACACTGTGATCTTGCAATTCACGATTGGGAAGAGGCTTATTACCTTGACGCGACGTGTTCTGCATGTAAAACATCCTGACCTAGTGCGGCGATGTTTTACAGTCTCTGCCCCCGGAGCACTCTTTCTACGAACCCTTGATGGTTTTGTCCCAGTTGTCATGTTTCCGCCTTCTGGCACAACAAAAAATGTAGTCAGAGGTGGGTGATCAAAAGGAGCATTACCGCCGAGAAGGCCAGCGTTGCTGTCGAAGCTCTGAATCCCGGCGGATGTTTGCGCTGTTGAGGCTGATGACGTTGTTGTAAAGTGAATCGCGTCTGGTGTGATATGAGACGAAGCTCGATACAACCCCGTCATGACCAAGTAAAAATATTCTGGCAAGGTAAAAACCTCTTGCCCTTCCGTTTGTTTGAAAGGAAAGAACGAAGGAAAGAAAGAAAAGAGCAAAAGAGCAAAAGAGCTAGAAGGGGTTAAAAGAGGAAGAGCGGCGAAAAAGGAATGAAATTAATTTTTTTTAAAAAAAAAGGCGAGAAGAAAAATTGACAACCCTGTTCTTCTCAAGTCACTTAATGTGTCCCTCCCAGTGTTACCGGTATTGTTGATGATGGCAAAATGATGTCTTGGGTAGCTCGCCGCTGTGGTTGACCCTTCACTGTTTTCGAGCTTTCCTTAAAACCAACAAAAAAAAAGAATCTCACAAGAGAGAGGCTGTGGGAGAGGGGAGGGGAAGTCTTCAAAAGGAACAGATGAACAACTGAGTGGACGCTACAGAACGGCAGGCAGCCCGCCGTGCAGACGCGGAGAACAACTTAGACAGACACAGTTCAAAGGAACGACTCGGTGAAAAAGGAGGCCGTCCGTGAGAAACAACCCCCCAGAAGCAAGCCCGGAGAACAAGGAGAGCCCCTAGTTAGAGTCCTCAGACAATTCCAGGCTAATGCAGCCCGTTCCTAGTCTTGAGTTTTTCTTATTCTTCTTGACCCTTCTTTTTTCGCTCTTGGAGGAAATAATTGCCTCCCCCCGCTGTTCCTTGGGCTCGTTCTTGAACTAGAACTACAGTGCGGTATTAGACACTCTGACACTTAGGAACTCAATGAACCAGGAACGAAAGGGGGTTCGATGTTATCGGGAGCTGATCGATAATGTTGCTGCTTCGAGCAATAGGATCGACCAGGGAGGCCTACCCCCACAAAATCTGAATTGGAAGAGAGGAGCGGGAAAAAGAAAGGAAAAATTATATATGGAGGAAAAGGGAAGACAAGCACTCGTACATAAGCCCCGATGAACGGAAGGTGACTGGTGGAACGACCGGATATAGATCAAGTTCTGATATAGGTATTACCAAATACCGGCAACTCTCATGAGATTTGAGTTCCGTAGAACTACCGTAGCTTTTGGACGACGAGTGAGCCAAAGTGGCAAATTGAAAGAAAATAAAGTAGTAGTAACGGATCAAATATCAGACAAAAAGGTCGAGGGGAAGAAGAAAAAACAAAGTGAAAAAAAAAAAAAAAAAGAAGCGGCAGCTCTTCACGACATTTACCTCTTGGAACCTGTATCTCAATAGAAAAAAGAAAAAGAAAAAGAAAAGAAAAGTTAAGAATGGAATAAAAAAAGAAATCAAATGAAAAGAAGTAAACAAGCTCATCCCCCTCCGAATTCTTTTCTTTTCTTACCCTACCGGATTGTTTCCTGTCCAGAGATAGCTTCCGCCGACAGTGGGGATGGGGATCCGGACTTCGGAAAATGCGCAATTCCAATGTATGTACCGTCCAGCGATGTCCAGAGACCTGCACGAGAGGCGCGAATTGAGCTCCAGATCTCTCCATTAAGAGAAAAAAAGATGCCTCTACGAGTACCGGTATCGCTGAGGCATCTGCATCACAATTCAAGGTGTCTAACCCCGTGCGTTCAATCGCATGGTTGCGGGGGTCAAGGGGCAAAACAAACCATGTGGTAGCGGGACGAAAATGCAGGTATAAGCATGCCTAGGGGAAGGGTTTTTCTGTTCAAGGGAATCAGGCATCGAAGGTACAAGGATCGAAAGTAGCTAGTCTGTGCCAGAGAAAGGGCAAGCAGGAAGGGAACAAGTGATATGACAGCCCTGCACTGTCCGTTGCCTGTCTCCTGATTGCTCACTTTGAGTTGGTGTTCAACAAGATTGGCAGGCACACTTCCCCAGGAGAGGTGCGAAGAGGAAAAGCATTACAGATGGTACCGGTAGTTTCTCTAAGCAGAGTAACCCTGCCCAAATCTATGTTCAACTCATTTTCAACCAAACTCAGCATAGAGGGGAAGACGAGACGAGGAACCCTTTGATTCAGACTGGTCGATCTAAAGGCTCGGAAGGACCTCCTCCTTCTTCGGAGCGCAGGAAGAGATTTGCGGGAATCAGATCAGGCAAAAAACTTTAAAAAACAAATAATTAAAGGTGTGGAAAGGGCTTTACTCGAGTAGCAGGATATGGTAGAGTGCAGTGCACCATAGTCTATGCATCCCCATACTTGCTGCCCTCCATTAGAATAATATTATGGTAAAGAGGGGGAAAAAGGGAAGCTGTGGGAGGTAAAGTAGTGGACGAGTCAAGTCAGATGTGGATTTACGATAAGGAAGATATGATACCATCCCCTGATACTCCGATGATACGGTACTGCCCTCAAGCACCCCACAGCAAGAAAAGCGTGAAATCCGGTATAGCAATTACTTTAGGCAGTAACTTGGTCCAAAAGAAAACCTAGGGCAATTCGAAACCTACACAGACCCGCAATTCAACCTATCTCCTTATAGTTGCACATCCAAACATTAGAGAGGATGTAGGAAAAAAGTGGGGAAGCACCGGGTATCATCACTATCGATATCATAGATGATGCAACGCAACAAAAAACCGAAGGAAGGTGGAATGGGCACCATCGGATGACGAGAGGAGAGGGAAAGGGGGGAGGGGGGTACTCATAGAGGGATAGAGAGGCGGAAGAGGAGAGGGACAGGGAAGGACAGGGAGAGACAGGGAGAGGTTAATGCCATGGTGGGAAACGGCATTTTTGCCCTTTCGTGAGAAGTGGATTCACTCTCAAAAGTCTTCTCCCACGAGGTCGACGGCGGATCGATTTCTGCAGATTAGTAGGCTGGCTTCCGCAACACAGAAATTCCATTCACAAGTCTACTACACGGTACGTGCCTGCCGTGCCTCTTGTCGAAATATGTGTGGGGCTATGCACATACCGGTAGAGGAAAGAACCAAAAAATATGCAGAATTTTCGTACCACAAGGGAGGCTTTCGATCGGGGGTGACCCCCGCCCCCAAAAAAAGACCACAGGAGGTCAGGAACGAAATATGAACTAGAAAAGTAAAATCAGAGAAGAGAAAGGAAAAGCGAAAACTAGATATCGAACATATGGCTCCGAGACTCCCAATAGATGAAATATCAGCAATTTCGCTGCGACAGTCCATCGGGACAGCTGTATCAAGAATTACAATAGTCATATCAGGGCGGGATTGTGAGTTCTTTTCGGGGGGTTTCTCTCTCATTCCTTCCCTTTTTCCCTCTATACCGCACAGACCCCCCCCCTCGCAACGGCAGCGTCACCGGTTGTGATGGGAGGCGGAGGGAAGAAGGGAGCGGAGTCTTGAGGAAGGGGGAAGGGGTTCTTGTTCTGACTATCATGGAATAGTCTATTTGAGAGCGGGAGACAGGGATCATTGGCCAATGTCTGCTCTGAAGGTGGAAGTACTCGAGTACTCGAGTAGAGGTGTTAGGAAGGAGTGAGAGAGACAAGCAAAGTGAGAAAGGAGGAGGGAAGGGAATTTTGCTGACTGTCCCTCGCCATTGTTGTGAGGGTAGGTGAAGGGCGGTTGGCTGGCAGGTCACTTCGGCTTCGGGGAGAGTAATATCGCGAAGTCAGTGTGATTAGTCCAATATATTTATCCTAGCTGGGCCTATCCGACATCTTGCTAGTACTGTAGCAAAACACAACCAGTGCCGCAGGAGGGGCACCACGGTGGGTTCGCCTAACTTTTTGTTCCACCTTCAAAAAGGAATCATAATTGGATTTCGGTCTGGTTACACTCACCAAAATTTGGCCAGTAATACCCTAGCACCACCACCACCACCGCCTAGATCCCAAGATTTTGAGGCGCCTCACCGCTCTGGCGGTGAGTGCCACTGCCTAAGAAATCGATTGGCAACAGATAATAATAAAAACCCCACAGAGCGGTGGTACTGTACTCGTACAAGAGTACCGGTATTGGAACAGTGTGGAGAAACAACATGAACTCTAATTTCGTACGTACCCTCCTCGTTCTGGAGGAAATCCTGATGACCAAAAAAGAAAAAATCACCCATGCCATCATCCCAAACCGAGCCGTAGTGCTCGCTCAGATCAGTGAAAAAAAAAAAAAAAAATACAAATTAGGAATATCAATTTGTACCAGTACGAGTACGAGTGCAAGACACAAAACCCCGTTATCGTCTTATCCAACCCCCCTCCCTTCTTCTGCATCTGTAGGCAAAGCTTACTACAAGTACACACGTACAAGGCATAATGAACTCGAACACAGGGGGAACTCCTTTATACCGTATGGCAAATAGTTCGTGCACATCTGGGCGCCCGAACTCGAGTACTAAATTCGGACACAAAAGTTCGTGTTCGACTGATACTTGTACTAGTACTAGTACAATATCATACGAGTACAGTCACACCCCGCTGTCCCGGATCTCGATAATACGGATACCTCGCTGTCCCGTACGAATCTCTGTGAACTCTGAATTTCTTTCCACCAAAGCCTGACCCGTTGTCCCGGATCCCTCGCTGTGCCGGACGGATTCTTCAGATTTTGGCTGTCCGGGATAGCGAGGTGCGACTGTACTTGTTCTCACACAATACCAGTGACACCCGGAAAAAGCAAAATTGTTGGCGGCCCAGAAGAATCACACATCGGACTTACTTGCTGGGGTGTAGCCCGTTTTTTTATTTTTTTTGAATGAGTGCTGGTCTTCGCTCAAGACCGAACAGGATAGGACGGAACTTGAACTGGTTAGTTGGCGGGGCCGCGGCGGCGAAAGTTCCCTCCTGCAGCTTCCATTCGTCCCTTTGCATGTGCTCGTACAGTACTCGAGTACCGGCACCGTACTGTACCGTGTCATTTCATACCTGCCCCAGACGAGAAGCACCCGAGGCATGGCTCGCATTGATTTGCAGATGCCCACAGAATTTTCCATCACATTTCTTCTTGGTAAAGGCGAGCAAAAGTCGGATTTGACCTTAGCAGGTCTTTCGCAACGCCTCAGGTGAGGCGAACTAGGAGTTTTGTCTGGCTCCACTGGCGTTAGCGACTTTTGACGAAGAGAGAGGAGGGGACTGATGGACAGTCAGTCAGTCAGCCAAGCAGGTTGACAGGTCGATAGGTAGGGAGCAGAGGAAAGAAACGACAAGGTAAATAGCAAGCAAATCACCGAAAATGCGCAGTACAGCCCCAGTGCGTTAAGATTACATATGGTACGCATAGAATTGTCCCAACCAGGTACGTACGCACCGTTAATAATGATGGTAATAATACTCATCACGTTATCAGAAATAATCTCAGAGCAGGTTCGTTCGGGA